AGTTGGCTTATGTGTGTGTGCTGAGTCGTGTCGTATGCTCGGTGTGTGAGTATTGTGCGTTGTGTGGTGTGTGTATGAGTGTGTGCTGGGCTGTGCTGAGTGTGTGGGGTCGTGTATGTGTGTGTGTGTGTGAAAGTGTGTGTGTGCTGTATGTGTGTGTGTGTGTCTGTGTGTGTGTGGCGTATGTGTGTGTGTGTGGGTATGTGTGTGCTGGTGTGTTATGTGTAGTGTGTTTCGGGTGTATGTGTGTCGTGAGTGGACGTGTCACTGTGTGTGTGGTGGTGTGTCCTGTGTGTGTGTGTGTCTCGTGTGTGTGTGTCGTTGTCGTAATGTGTGTGGTCGTTGTGTCCGTGTATGTGTTAGGGGGTGTGTGTCGTGTCGGTGTGTGTCGTGTGTCTCGTGTGTGTGTGTGTGTATATGTGAGTGTGTGGTGTGTGTATGTGTCGTGTTGTGTGTGTGTATGTGTGGGTCGTGTGGAGTGTATCTGTGTGTGGGTGGTGGATGTGTGCTGCTGTGTGTGTGTATAGTGTGTGTGTGTGTGTGTATGTGTGTGTGTGAGTTGTGTATGTGTGAGTGTGAGGGTGTCTGTGCTGTGTGTGTGTGTCCGCGTGTCGCCTGAGCTGTTGCTGTGTGTGTGTAGTGTACACTTGTCGTGTGTGTGTGTGTCTGTGGGTGTGAGTCGTGTATGTGTGGTGTGAGTGTGTATGTGTGTTGACGTGTGTGTGTGTTTCGCTGTCGTGGTGTAATGTGGAGTTGTTGGGTATGTTGTGGGTGTGTGTGTATGTGAGTGGGGTGTGTGTATTGTGTGTGTGTGCGGTTGTGTATGTGTTGTGTGTGTGAGTCATGCTGTGTTTGTGTGGTCTGTGTGTGTTCGTGTGAGTGGTATGTGTGGTGTGTGTGTGTGTGTCTGTGTGTGTGTGTGCTGTGTCTGTGTGTGTGTGTGTGTGTCTGTGGGTGTGTCCGTTTCGTGTTGTGTAGTGTGTCGGTGTATAGGCGTGTATGCTGCCTTGTGTTGTGTGGTATGTGTGTGTGTGTGTGTGTATGTGTGTGTGTGAGTTTTGTTCGTGTAGTGTGGTTTTGCTTGTTTGAGTGAGTGTATGAGTGTGTGTGTGTATGTGCTGGTGTGAGTGCTCTGTGTGTGTGTGGTGTCTGTGTGTGTGTGTGTCTCTGGGTGTGTGTGTGTGTCTGTGTGGGTGTGTGTCTTTGTGGGAGTGTTTACGTGTGTTGTGTGTTTATGAGTGGGTTTGTTTGAATGTGTGTGTGTGTCTTTGTGGTTGAGTCATGTGTGAGTGTGTCTTTCAAGTGTGTGTACATCTGTGTGTGTGTATGGTGTGTGGGTCTGTGGGTCTGTGGGTTGTACGTGGGGGGGCGAAGGGGGGGGCGTAGGTGTTCATGTGTGTGTGTGTCGTGTGTGAGTGTGTGTGAGTGCTTTGTGGTGGTGAGTGTGTGTGTGTGGTGTGTGTGAGTGTGTTAGTCTGTGTCCTGATTGAGATTAGTCAGTGTTCTGTTTTGATTGTCTCTATGAATTATTGTGAATTGTCAGTTACATATTAACTCACATTCAGTTTCATGTGGACACTAATTACAGTATACCTTATATTTCACACATACATATACCATTTATACCACACATACATATCATATATTCACTCTTTACATGACATATTATTACACAATTTACACTATACATATATACACAACATACCTATACATATATACACACATACATATACATATATACACACATACATATACATATATACACACATACATATACATATATACACACATACATATACATATATACACACATACATATACATATATACACACATATACATTATATATTTATTATATATTGTATTTTAATCATATTAATTAATCTTATATGAATCATATATAACAATAATATATGAATTATATAAATTTGCATTAGCTAAAATATACATTCAAATTACACAGGGTTTGCTCATTTAAATGTCTTCAAAGTCACAGTTCATAATACCTTTTCTGGCTCCTCTCACATGATATACAGCATACATAAATCAAAACAAAAGTACATATTGCCATTTAATTCCTTTTTCGCTCTTCAATGCAAACTGCACATGTTCACGGTCATTCTAACTTGATCAGACCACAAAACGACTGAAAAATAGCCTCGGAATCCTACCTGTTAACTCGTTCTCATAGAACAGCGAATACCAAAGAGGTAGGTGCTGATAACGCTGCCGTAGTGATTTTCTGACAATGCGCAGTGTTTCTGTATCAAAGAGCCAAGGTTCACGTCGTTTTGTGTCAAGATGGGCATGGGCTCGGTAGAAAGGCTGGAAAGCTGCTGCCTGAAAATTATTAAAAATTATTTCACTACATTGAAGATTACCACATCTATGCTAGCAGCTGTATTTATTTATGCTGGTAATTTTATGGCTTGATAAACAAATGACTATTCAAAAAGTACTTTTCCCACAGAGAAAACCTTTAGTAACCTTTAGTAGTAAACTGATTAATCAATTAATCATGATATTAGTAAGAAACAATAATCCATAACTATATATTTTTTAACAAATTTTAAAAATCAAAACCTATAAATACTACTCAGCCATTAATATTACCTGATACCATCGAGCAAGCAGGTTAATATCAGGATTACCGAAGAAGCCCCCAACATCAGCACCAACATGAGTGATCCCTGTAACAGAGAGTGACAGCAACATAGGCTGACTTATGCGCAGGTGACTCCATTCAGCTGTGTTGTCACCAGTCCACACAGCTGCACTTCTCTGTGTTCCAGCATAGAAGGCGCGCGTGAGAATGAAGGGTCGCAGGCGTCTGTCTGACCTTTTCAACTGGCCTTCGTAAGTTGATTCATGCTGAGAAATTCAATAGTCAGGATAAGAATAATATACAGTAGCTAATAAATACATAAAAAAATGCAACTGAATTTCAGCTGACAAAGATATTAAAACATTTCTCTGCCGCACACCTGACTAGCAGCCACAACCATACATTTCAAACCATAATACAATAACCAAAGGCTTTTTCAAACTCTCAGTACATAAGCTAAAATACTACACAGCAACATATACTTACAAACAGCATTCCATAAGCATTGTGAACTTCTCTGTGTTCTACCCCGATGCCAGGATGTAAATTGTCTTTAGGCATCGTGATTTCTGGTCCATTGAAGACAGAGGGTTCGTTCATGTCATTCCATGTGAACGTGTCCAAGGTGGAACCCTAAAAGTCACAAAAGTTTTCAGGATAATCTTGGCAATGATGGCATCATCAGTCTACCAGGCAAGTGATTAACTTTTTTTTTAATGTTTATTTTCTTTCTCCATATTCTACTTGGCAGACATGCAGGCTTTCATATTACTATTTCTGGTATCCAGTACTATGCTCTGTTCACAAGCTAGGTGTCTTAAACCCAGGCACTGGTAACTGTACACTACTTTAAAAGCTAATTATATAGCTTTCCTTGCCTCAAGGGAAAATTGTACCTTTGGATTCAGTCTCTTTTAATATTACCACATCATTAGATATAGAAATTTGTGCTGTCTGGCATCAAAAGAAGCTATTCGTGTTTATAAAACAACTTCTTCCAATGTAATATCTAGGGGGGGGAAAAAAAAACAGTGACAAATTACCTTGTAGCGGTCAAGTCGGTAAGTATCACTGTAGTGTTCTCGCGCATCAGGATTAGTCATATCAATATAGGATGAAGAACCTGGCCAGCACCAACCTACACAAAAGAATTATAATTAGATTCAAGTACAAAATCCGCCTAGAATGGAAACCTGTATCATGCATGATCCCTAATCAACCTTTTGAAATGTATTATTTACATAATAGAGCATTTGTTAAATATCATAAAATAATGGTGTATCAAACAAGAAACCTGGGCAATCCAAGTTCCATTAGCTAAAACCACATCCTTCACACCAAGTTTCCTATTAATGCTTATTTCTTTTTTTACCAATATGCTCATGTTCTCCAAACTGTTGCAAATTTGAAAACCAGAAGATGTAAATCACAATACAAAAACTTACCATCAAACTCATTTCCATCTTTTGTATGGACAAAAAGGTCTCGATCATGAACTTCTTTATAAAAGAAATAATTACTGTCCCGTTTGAAATGAACATCAATAATGGTCACAAGTTTGCGGCCTCTTGCGGTGAGGTTGGCGGTCATTTCCAGTGGGTTTGGGAATTTGTAATGGTCCCATGTGAAGTACCTGCAATCAAAACATGAGTATTATTTATTTATGCTTTCTATCAGATGTTACAATTTTTTGATAACTGGTATCTTGATTGGATAGAATAAATTACTTTCAATACCAGTGCTACTGATGAGGATAAAGTGTTTATCATAACGTATGTAAAATATTTTATATTCTTAACAAAAGAAGTAGCAGTTAACCTAATTAACTTAGGACTATAGTATTTAAGTTAACATGACACACTTGATTGCTTAAATACAAGTCTAATATGCTACAGTTGAATTATGAATTGTCAATCCTCTAATTAAAACATTTTATTCCCGAATTTTTGTTCTTTGGTCAAAATAGTTCAAAGGTGCTCTCTGTACAATACCTATCAAATATATCAAAATTTCTCATAAATTATAAATACATTTCTTATAATATGTAACATTTGATAAATGTACTTTGAAACCTCTAAAAAATGTGCACTAGGTGTAAAGCTAAATCATATGGCACAAGAAATTTTATATTAGTTATTTAACTTCAAATAAAGTAATTGAGAAGCAATGTACCATAATAAACTTATTTACCTTTTCCCATCAGTGTGTTCAATATCTAACCACATCACATCCAAAGGAAGATCATGTTTGTCAAAGTTTTCATGCACTTGACGTACATCCTCTTCATCATTGTAGTTCCAGCGGCACTGATGATATCCCAGACTAAAAAGCTGGAGCAGAAAATTTCCAATGTTTAAAGGTATATATGCTAAAAGAAATGGTCATTTTGCAAAATCCTACTTAAACATTTTTAGTAAAAAACAATATTCACAACAATTTCTCTTGCACATTCATATAAGATCATACACAAATATACTTCATTAAACATTACCGGTGGAAGGTTCTGAGTTCCTGTAAGACCTGCATACTGTCTGAAGACATCCATGGGTTTTGGTCCTAGCATGACAAACACATCAATGATGCCAGACTCCGAGAACCAATGTGTAGACACCTGTGGAGGGTCAGTCTCTCCACTGGAGAAGAAACCAGTGATGGAAGACACAACATTGCTATCTGGCAATTTCTGTAACAAGAACCAAAAAGATTTGTTAACGACCTTCTCCATAATTCACACAAAAGAACAATATCTTCAAATTAGTTTTTTGGCCCAGTAATTACAACGCCTGTGCTCACCTTAATATCAATCCACGTTTCAGCAGAATTATGCCAAAACACAGCAGTAGTGTGACGTGCAGTCTGGGAGAGCATTACTGGTACAGAACCATACAGAGCCATAGGATTGTCCACTTCATATTCAAAAACATCCAAGTTGTACAACCGGTAGGGATCAGTTGACCTGTTGGAATGAATAAATTAATAAATAAATAAATAAACTAATTAATTAATAAACAAATAAATATCAGTGCTTGCACCTTGTTATTAACAATTTTGCAATATGTACTTTTCTGTGACTTTTTGACAATACTTCAAATATTCAGTCAAGTGATAGTGCAGCTATAACACGTGAAGTTGGGGACCACAAGGGTTAGTCACCTAGCTCACACAAGTTCGAATCCTGTACCATTAAGGGCTATCATCTGACAGAACCAAAGTCCTTCGAAAGAAGTCATTATCCTAGCACTTGCAAGGGAGTTACTGACAAAGCCTAATCAAGTTCTAGTTATATCAAAACAACTCTCCATTAAGCTTCATTCTCACAAAACATGACAATACTTCTTGACAAAACTCTCACAAACCCTCACCTCCAACAATCCACCCACTCACATACACATAAAAGCAAAACTCTACAGAATAGCTACAGTACATCATACCTAAAGTTTCCAATACTTCATTGCAATGGAAGAAATACTACAAAATCACTGAGTTACAGAAAACTTACGTGGTTTCTCTCAACGAGAAAGAGTCTGCATGCTCCGGTATTCCATATACATGCTTGGAGTTGACAAAGGATATATCCATGCCCACTGAGGCTGGCCCAAGGGGCTTGCTGTCAGTGTGGCCCTTGAAGGACTCCTCCCACAATCCATCTTTGTCCTCCTCCTGATCTTCAGCTGGAAGGGCATTGGGCTCTCCCTCTCCCTCTGCAGGCTGTTCCTCACTGTATTATTAAAAAAGAGTGAAGGATAGTATAAAAATGATAACACACATGTAAAACAATACTTAACATTTCCATATACCTGGTAAACAGAGGTCACAGACCTAGGTGGATAGACAAACTGAGAGATATACATGTATCTGTTCTAAGGGCATACACAAAGGAATATCTATAATACAACAAAAAAAGTGCTTTTGATTTAAATTTTTTTCACCCATTCTAAGTGAAACTTACTTTCCAGGTTTATTCCTGTAGTGTTCAAATTTGAGAAGTCCCCGAGCATTAGTGCTCACCACAAGATCATCGCCGTTATAGATATCGATCTTCAGAGGTTTTGCATTTACAACAGCACGATGAGATCCAAATTTGACGGTCACTCCTTGAGCAGACTGATCAACAACCTCAAAGCTGTAAGTAGATTATTTATTAGACAATATATTTGCAAATATGTGCAAATAAATATGCGATGTCATTAATCAGCAACCTCAAAGATGAAAATGGATACTTTGAAATAGATATATACACAAACATATGCTAATAATAATATAAAATTATATACCTTTCTCCATGAATATCCTTTACTAAGGCATACGGATCCTCAAACCTGGGCTTGATAGGATTTTTTTCATTTATTTTAATGCGCACAGTTGAATCCTTTAGAGGGTATATTTCTAAAGTAAAAACAATTCTATTATTTTCATTAATGACATCTCCTACTAGTCCTGCATCATTTACTGTCACAGTGTCAGTGAGGAGCGCATACGGACTTTCCCCTGGTTTCACAGCACGATGTCGTCTGTAAAAATTCAGAGATAGTAATTAATACCTGTATTGATGTGAATGCCTATATATTCATATATGTTAAATTTTCACTCTACTGAAAACCACTAGCAAGATATTTTCAAAGCAATATTTCGATAGGTTTCTTAAGCTTAACAATTGTGTGCCTGATGTGCGATATCAAATAAGAATACTTTCACATGTATTGCAAATGATAGCCTATACAGTGAACAGAAGGAATTGCCAAATCTACTTTAGGGGCTGATCCTTCCATGCCCAATACTCACCTGCAGAAACTACTTTGCTGGCAACTTTTGAAATTGCCTCGGTCAACAGCTGAGACCAGTGTCAGTAAAACAGCCAATGCCACGGACCTTTATAGAGAAACAAGAAAACATTTTAATTTGTTAAGTGCAAATCCAATGTTATATCTTCTTAAACACAAATATTGATAAAGTGTCTAAACAAAGACTACAATTTCTAATCCATATTATAAAAACTTCTAATCTAGACCCTTTATACTAACCATAATCAAATCTAATTAACAATCAGCAGAAAATGGATCTCCTCGTCCATAAAAAAAAAATGGCTTTAACTCAATATATTCCTATAAAAAAATAATAAATATACAGGGTTTATCCTTAATACCATCTGAGGGATTACAAAGGGCACAGACTGGACTGAAATTTCTCCTAATGAATTGTGGTATGTGCAAATTGAATGATTGGGCAGTCCTGCAACAGCAACTTGAGAGGGGCTAGATCTTGTTACAGCCTTCCTTCCTACACAATGTCAGGTATATTGCCCCTTGTTTTGTTACTACTTAAATTACCAACACAAACTCTCATTCTTACTTTCAGCATGATCACCCGCACATGAATGTGAACACACTCCCTCACGCAAGTCACACTCACTCACTCACTCTCTCCCAACCTCCCACTCACTAAACAACTCACTCACTCTCCCAACCTCCCACTCACTAACTCACTCACTCACTCTCCCAACCTCCCACTCACTAACTCACTCACTCACTCTCCCAACCTCCCACTCACTAACTCACTCACTCACTCTCCAACCTCCCACTCACTAACTAACTCACTCACTCTCCCAACCTCCCACTCACTAACTAACTCACTCACTCTCCCAACCTCCCACTCACTAACTAACTCACTCACTCCCCCAACCTCCCACTCACTAACTAACTCACTCACTCTCCCAACCTCCCACTCACTAACTAACTCACTCACTCTCCCAACCTCCCACTCACTAACTAACTCACTCACTCTCCCAACCTCCCACTCACTAACTAACTCACTCACTCTCCCAACCTCCCACTCACTAACTAACTCACTCACTCTCCCAACCTCCCACTCACTAACTAACTCACTCACTCTCCCAACCTCCCACTCACTAACTAACTCACTCACTCTCCCAACCTCCCACTCACTAACTAACTCACTCACTCTCCCAACCTCCCACTCACTAACTCACTCACTCTCCTAACCTCCCACTCACTAACTCACTCACTCTCCCAACCTCCCACTCACTCACTCTCCCAACCTCCCACTCACTCACTCTCCCAACCTCCCACTCACTCACTCTCCCAACCTCCCACTCACTCACTCTCCCAACCTCCCACTCACTCACTCTCCCAACCTCCCACTCACTCACTCTCCCAACCTCCCACTCACTAACTCACTCACTCACTCTCCCAACCTCCCACTCACTAACTCACTCACTCTCCCAACCTCCCACTCACTAACTCACTCACTCACTCACTCACTCTCCCAACCTCCCACTCACTAACTCACTCACTCACTCTCCCAACCTCCCACTCACTAACTCACTCACTCACTCTCCCAACCTCCCACTCACTAACTCACTCACTCACTCTCCCAACCTCCCACTCACTAACTCACTCACTCACTCTCCCAACCTCCCACTCACTAACTCACTCACTCACTCTCCCAACCTCCCACTCACTAACTCACTCACTCACTCTCCCAACCTCCCACTCACTAACTCACTCACTCACTCTCCCAACCTCCCACTCACTAACTCACTCACTCACTCTCCCAACCTCCCGCTCACTAACTCACTCACTCACTCACTCTCCCAACCTCCCACTCACTAACTCACTCACTCACTCTCCCAACCTCCCACTCACTAACTCACTCACTCACTCTCCCAACCTCCCACTCACTAACTCACTCACTCACTCTCCCAACCTCCCACTCACTAACTCACTCACTCACTCACTCACTCTCCCAACCTCCCACTCACTAACTCACTCACTCACTCTCCCAACCTCCCACTCACTAACTCACTCACTCACTCTCCCAACCTCCCACTCACTAACTCACTCACTCACTCTCCCAACCTCCCACTCACTAACTCACTCACTCACTCTCCCAACCTCCCACTCACTAACTCACTCACTCACTCACTCACTCTCCCAACCTCCCACTCACTAACTCACTCACTCACTCTCCCAACCTCCCACTCACTAACTCACTCACTCTCCCAACCTCCCACTCACTAACTCACTCACTCACTCACTCACTCTCCCAACCTCCCACTCACTAACTCACTCACTCACTCTCCCAACCTCCCACTCACTAACTCACTCACTCACTCTCCCAACCTCCCACTCACTAACTCACTCACTCACTCTCCCAACCTCCCACTCACTAACTCACTCACTCACTCTCCCAACCTCCCACTCACTAACTCACTCACTCACTCTCCCAACCTCCCACTCACTCACTCATTCACTTTCTCTCCAACTTACTCTCACATTATTTTTTGCCCACACAGATTACTTCATGTATTAGCAAGTAGTTTAGTTTATTAATGAGGCACTACAATTTAAGACAAATGTATACCATAGTATTATGTGTTACACAACCTTCTTATTATCAACTTGCAAAGGTAATACCACAGATGAAAAGTATTTTCAGTCCTTATGTTCATTACAGGCAAATTATCGTGTAATACATGGCTGTGGGAAACAAACTATACCAAAAATACATTATTACCATCACACACCCATCATTCTCACACTTAAATTTACACATCTGCTTAAATTCAGCCATTTACACTTACATCTGCACTTACACACATACAGTTGAATATTTGTTACCAAGAGTGATGCCCCCTCCAGATAGAAGTCCCAAAATCAGGCTATCATGCAAACCCCAAAATCCAAATCTAAACTTTCTGCCTTTTATATATTCCCTAGACAGGGGCTAACCCCCATGAACCCATTCATTAGCATTTGGTGCCAACTTAGAGAAAACAGACCTTAAGAACTCTGTGTGAGGGTGCTGTGGACTGTGGTATGCAGTAGATATTTTTTTGTCATTTAGTAGTAAATATGTGGCATGAGCAGATGTATCTCTTTATCATTTCATTTTTTTAGGGTCTAAGATGGCAGTGTCCATTTCCCTCTTTCCCTGAGCATCTCCATTGTTAACATTAACCAAAGGTGGAGGGGAGCTTGCCCACCTTGCCGAGGGAATAAAAAGGAAGTACGAGAGTTTTTGGAATTTTGTCTATGGAGTCGCTCTCGGTAACAAATACCTCTTATTTATATCCAAACGCGTAAAATCAATACACTAATCTTACTCGAAAATATAACAAAAAGTTATGTCATATCGCGGTCGCTGAAGAAATGACCAAATGCAAACAAAACACCGGCCTTATTTACAGCTGAAAAAGGGTCGAGTCTTTTGACAGACGCGGAGACGCAACCAAGAACACTGGTCTTGGAGACAAAAGTAAATCATTCCGACGTCCCGCTGGGCATCAGAGACGTCGCGTGGGCACCGGAGTGAAAGCCGACACTCTGATCCCTCTCTTTTTCTTTCCCCCGACTGAGTATTCGATTCCTATGACGATCAGCTGATTGTTGACGGCCAGCTGAAGCCCAGCAACCTCCTGCCAAGCTCGCCGGTATGACGTGTCCATTTCCCTCTTATCCAAACCAAATCTCCGGCAATTTAATCCTCCTCTCCTGCCGTGATAACTAAAACTCTAACCCCACACCCTCAAAAAGCATGAACTTGGCCTAATACATTGCCAAAAGGGGGAAATCAGAGAGAACGCTTCCTCACCTGCAGAGCGTGGCCATCGTGTTGTTATTTGGGAGGCGCTCATTGGCGGTGACGTCACGGCGGCGGAGGGTCAGGCGAGCGTCTTCGTTTCTCTCGCTCAATTGCGATTTATGATAAAATATATTTACTTGATTTCACAATATTGCTTCTCTGATGTGGAAATGGGTTTAATATATAGTATATATGGGTGTTTGGAGGGCGTTCACTGGTGAATAGCGACGTTACGGTGCGGGGTCAAGTGAGCCTCTTGGTTAGTCCTGCTCAATTGGAACATTTAGAAATGAATATCTATTTCAATTCGCAATCTTGTTCTTATGATGAGGAGATGCGTTAAATATATGACATATCAGGATATCTCTTACCGTCCCTTTTAATGGATTATTAGTACTTCTGGGATGTAGAGATAACAGCTGTAAAGAATATTCAATAAATTATTCAAGAAAGCTTAGACGGAAGAATTTATCAGCATGACTGTCTGCATGATTGCTGCTAATAAATCATACAGTGCATGATTCTATATAGCACAAAAGCTTTCGTGTGCCGGTTTAGGTTTATAGACTAGTTAATTTACATGGAAATATTCCTTGTGTGATTTGTCACGTATAACCACTTTATTCCTGTATCATAAAGTCAATCATAATGGCTTGATACTTTAAGAATATTGCATCTCTCAATACTGATGTGCGTAAAACTGCCGGTATCCCACCAAGTATATTTTGTCGTGAATATTTTTTCTCTTAATTTAGAAATGAAACTACTATGAACAGGCCAATTGCGGTTATTATTGGTAGTCATGGATTTACTGCTCTCAAGAAATCATGGCTTATTCAGTCGCCTCTGCTTCTTCTATAGGCACATGCTCTGACATAAAATGAGTGCAAATGGCCTCTTCTGATGAGATATTTGTGCGACGCTGCATTTCCCAAACAACATAAGCATTATCAGGCAAAATACTCATTTTCGTACAGTCGGCTACATTTGTGCAAAAGCTTTGTTACATATGGAAACTCACTTGTTTTTTCTTTCTTTCTCTCTCTCTCTCTCTCTCTCTCTCTCTCTCTCTCTCTCTCTCTCTCTCTCTCTCTCTCTCTCTCTCTCTCTCTCTCTCTCTCTCTCCTCCCTCCCTCCCTCCCTCCCTCCCTCCCTCCCTCCCTCCCTCCTCTCTCTCTCTCTCTCTCTTTCTTTCTCTCTCTTTCTCTCTCTCTCCCTCCCTCTCCCTCCCCTCTCCCTCTCTCCCTCTCTCCCACTCCCTCCCTCTCTCCCTCTCCCTCCCTCTCTCCCTCTCCCTCCCTCTCTCCCTCTCCTTCCCTCTCTCACTCTCCCTCCCTCTCACTCTCCCTCCCTCTCTCACTCTCCCCTCCTCCTCCCTCTCACTCTCCCTCCTCCTCCCTCTCTCCATCCCTCCCTCTCCCTCTCTCTCTCTCTTTGTCTTTGTCTATCTGTCTGTCTGTCTGTCTGTCTGTCTGTCTCTCTCTCTCTCTCTCTCTCTCTCTCTCTCTCTCTCTCTCTCTCTCTCTCTCTCTCTCTCTCTCTCTCTTTCTCTCTCACGCACACACACCTTACACCAGTGTGTTTAATACTGCATGAAGATGTAACGTCCATTATTATTGAGGATTTCTGGCAATTTGTAGTGAACGGACAATTCACATGAAAAAGAAATGCCTAAAATATGGTTTGCGATAACAAAATATAATTCACTGCAAAATTTGTATATGTGGAATTCGAAATATTATATGAATAGCATCTTATAAGAAAAGTAAAATTAAACCCGGAAGTCATACACACAGCCAGAAATTGCATTATTGATCAAGCCGATTGCAGAGAATAACATACGCTGTTTGGTCAAAGATGCTGACTTTTTTTTTTTTGATTCCCAGGCACACACATCGTTCCATTATTCTTATAACGTGTATGTTGGTTGATGGTGTCATATCAGATATCCTGATATGTTTGGTGTCAATTAAGTAACAGGGACATAAGAATGTAATACAGGAAGGTAAGTAATTTGTCATGCACGCAAAACGGAAGAGAATAGCGCCAGAGAAGCCTCAGTGAAAGCGTGTGTATGCATCCACAAGCACGCAATATATATATATATATATATATATATATATATATATATATATATATATATATATATATATATATATATATATATGTATGTATATATATACATAATATATAATATATATATATATATATACATATATATATATATATATATATATATATATATATATATATATATATATATATATATATATATATATATATACATTTATACATATCCACAGTTAATCAAAACCAAAATGTTTACCTTGGGCATGAAAGAGTAAAACCGTAAAATCACATATAAACGTAAACAGTTATCGCAATGGTAACTTTTTTCGTAAAACTGCATTTTCTTTACACAGCCTTTTTTATTCCATAAATTATTCGATTAAATCTGTTAAGACCAAAAGATGAAATGATATTTCATTAAACAAATCCTGTGCTAATTCATAATTCAGACATTGTTAATTTCAGACGTTATGGTGACAATTGTAGAAAAAAAATATGAATAGCAGTAAAAAAAAAAAAAAAAAAAAAAAAAAAGAAAAAAAAAAAAAAAAAAAAAAAAAAAAAAAAAAAATATATATATATATATATATATATATATATATATATATACATACATATATATATATACACACACATTAACGTATTATGCCCACTACCCTTAAATTCATGGTAAGTTTTACTTGTGTGTAAAGTGTTTATATATACAGTACATGCGTGTGTGTGTGTGTGTGTGTGTGTGTGTGTGTGTGTGTGTGTGTGTGTGTGTGTGTGTGTGTGTGTGTGTGTGTGTGGTGTGTGTGTGTGTGTGTGTGTGTGTATTATATCTTCATCGCAATGACGTAACTGTGATGAAGTAATGACTTCAATTGCTTGTCTTAAATCCATATGGAAATATGACAACCTGTGTAGAAAATTCAAAGCACTGTGTGTCTATAAATTGATACCTACATGTCACTTGTGCAGGAAATGCCATTTCCACGTCTTCCCAACAACTGGCAAACCACAAGAATGGTTATGTTTGTAATGCATGTGACCTCTCTGTATTGCCAGAATGATGATTAATATAATGTTAGATTTTTGTTTCTTTTCTCTAGTAAGAAATTACCTAGCTATGTTGAATGCGGTGGTATGGTCCGTTTTGATCCGTTTTAAACGTCTTGGAAGTAACAATAACGGCTATTACGATCTCTGCTGTTCTACACTTCTCAGGCTTCTTTAGGCAACTTCAGCATTTTTTTGCAGTTGCTGAAATTGCAAGATCGATAGCGTTGTGTTTGGCAGTAATGCAATTATTAAATCAACTAGTAAACTTACCAAGGGCGTTATTCATGTAAATTAACGAAACTTTACACAGGCGCAAACAGAAAAGCCCGTAAATACATTCTTAGTATAAAGTTTTGTACAGTGAAATATACAACAATTACATGTCAGCACTCGAAGTCCAGGACGCATTCTCAGATGAATTAAGTAAAATTGCTTCACTCTTTCCTCGGCGCTAAATACGGTATATTTTTCAACCCTAATGGGAAACGGCGATTTATGAATTTATTCAATGATAAATCGTCCCTACATCAGAATAATACACGGCTTACAATTAATGATAGTCATAATACCATGTAATACTTTAAGAACGGCATTTATGAACCAATTATAAGAAACCTATAAAGCCGTGATCAGTTCATTCTTGATTATTTTCGTATCTGGTAACACCGGTCCGTTCAAGCAAGGACCCGTATTAACCAAACAAACACGTATTATATATTAAATGACGGTTGTTGGTCACTATTTCCAAGTTAAGTATATGTATACCATTATTCCTAACAAAAACCGATAGACCTTGTAGATACTTACCAGTCATGTTTACAGAATTAATGGAAATAAAGACTGGAAAAATACCACTGAAACTACCCAATGAGGCGGCTACTGCACCCCAGACCCCTTAGCTAATAACCTCAATCCTTAGATGTTTGGTGTTCCCTTATACACATTTAGTTTCCCCTTTTGGAACTTCTTAGATCCACTTCTCAGGAGAGACATTGTTGCCTGATCACATCTCTGGTACATCGCAAAGCATTTTTGTGTATTTGTGTGTGTGGGCGTGTACATAATATTTTTTGTAGATACACTACTTATGCTTGATATTGTTCATTGTAAATTGTATTTGACATAATCATTACCCACATCTTTCTAGAAATGTACTCCTTAGTAAATCATAACCATTTAAACAACTAGTTAACATACTTGGGATAATATTCATGCAACTTCACAGTATAGGGATAGCAAAAGTAAAGAGATAGCCCTACTGTTACTAATATTACTCTACCTTCTTATCTCCATGGGATAACTGCTTCTTCTGTCCCGTAAATCTTTCTTAATCTGCCTCTATCTAATAAACCTAAATATACTCTAAGAATCACTTATTTTCATGTATCTACTTACAGGCTTCCCTTTTCCATCCCTAATAATAATGAAAATGTTTTCTTTAGTAGTGAATAATACCAATTAGAAATATAGTAATTATAATAATGATAAAGGCAAATAGACAAATCAAACTTGAAAATCCATTTTCAAAATCTATTTGTACCGCATTTTTAAGAGAAAATTATAAGTAACCTATATTTGAGTCTTAGAAGTTGCCATTCACTATATACATACCAAATGTATTTGTTAACTGTACCTGTTAGCTAACATTAAAGAATATATTTGAAATTAGCATTATTTTTTCTCTTAGATCATAAGTTGAAAACACCCTCACAAAATATGAAGCATTAAAAAGATTGAATTTTTAATCAGGGATTTCTTTTCCTTAGCATCTACTGAAATTCTTTAATGTTACCAAAAAACAAAAATCAAAATAAGTCTATCTTTGTTATTTCTAACCTTATTCTTTTACAATACTGAGTATCTTAAATGAAATTCCTTTGTGAAATTTTATGTAAAATTCCCCTTTAATACTCTCACAGTAGAGGAGTACATTGAATCTATC